TATTTTGTCTCAGTTGTTCTTGTCAACTGTTTAAATGAATGTAAGCTCTGTTTTTGGAAAACTGTAAAAGACCTATTAAGTAAACCTCTTTTGTTGCTCACCTTAACCAGTTTTCAAGTCTGTTTTTTGGTCTTGATTTGTCCTAAATCGCCAGATTTTCGATTTCAATGAAAGACATCCGAGGTAAATTTCAGTAAACTTGATATTGTATTGGATTATCTGTAGTTTGCTTTCGTTTTTCTTTAAGTAAAAGAGATTCAAAGCCTAAAACTGTAGGCCTTGGAAAACTTTTTGTCGAAGAATCTTCCAAGAACAAAACTAGCCCCTGGGGGTGATGGTGAGTTGTGTACAAAATTCCTAAGTGGGAGAGTATGCTCGCGCAAAAAAACAAAAAAACAAAAAACGATGTAGTGCATTTCGATTCGATTTCACTGCATGGTTTTTATTATGGGAGAAATTATCATCATTTCGAATAAAAAACAATTGAAGATTTTTTCCCCGATCTTATTTTCACCTTTCAGTTTCATTCAAATTGTTCTCCCTGTGACTTCCGTATCGGGAGCTCCGCTTTTAGGCAGTGCCTAAATATATATATTAATGATCTTTATTAACGCAGCTGTCAAAAGAGACTATTAAACGAAGGTTTCGATATCGACAAAAATAATTTAGTTTTATCTGGAACCTTTTTTCGATCATTTTTCTGTCCAGATTCTACCTGTGTCACTTTTCATGTGTCATATTCTGCACAATTAATGACTGACATTTTTGGGATTTCTTCTTAGCTTCGCAGTGCAATGATCAATCGTACCTTTTCCTCTGATCCATTCAATCCAAATAAGCAAGCATTCAAGGTGTATGATGTTTCAAGAGATGAGGTGAGAGTACATATGAATAAGGTGATGATGGGGTGCATGGAGAGATGGGGTGGGTTGGTGGACGGGGTGGTTGTTTGGGCGGGGGATAGAGGGGGGAGGTAGCATGGTTATCCGAGGCTGATAAGTTTACTGCCATCTCTCCTTATGAATTATCAACTGTTATTTTACCTTTTTCCAACGTTTTTAGTTGAGAGTGGTCAAGCGAGAACTCCAGTTCTTCTATGATAGCCTACAGGATACTTCATTTAGGTATTTTTTCCCAGTAAATTATCAGTAAACTAGCTACCTTATTCGTACTTTTGCACGTCTTCATTTTTGCAATCTTTGCAAACTGTAAAACAATCGCGAAATATTTATGCCTCACAAAAAATAGTCCTCACAAAAGTTTCCATTCAGTAAAAAGAAGCGGAAGTTAATCATGGCAATAGAACGTTTGCAAGATCATTTGACTCCACCTACCAAGATGCTTCGCGATTTTTTTTTTCTTATTTAAATTTGTATTCCCTCATGAGAATAGTAAGAATAATAGAGGTCAATGGTGCCATCGTGCAAACGTCCTATTAAATAAAAAAAATACCCCCCAATCACAACCAATCAGAATGCAYAATTTTTAGAACTGATATCGGACCAGTGAAATCAGTTTTACAGGTTTAATATCTTTTAATACCAAGGACATTAAAAATTCTCATTGACAGAAGTTCATAACTATAGTTATGAACTTCTGTCATTGGCCATATTTGACAGTCCTTGAAGGGTTGATCGGCAGTTGTGATTGCCGGATAAAATTCTGCCCTTGTGTTCTTCTAACAGTTTTAATTCAAACCGAAGATATGAAGCTTTATCATGCTCAAATTTCACAAATCTTTTTGAACAATTGATGAAAAATCCGACAAATGTAAATAATTGTTTTAAAGGATTTAGCCGAGTGACACAGTATAAAGGTCAGGGGCGTGACCAATATTTCCCATAGTTGGGGTTACTTCCCAATAACCCTCTCAAAACATTTTTCCCTGCTTTCCCCCAGACGATTTGGTTAGGTGCACAAAGTGTCGTGGGTATGCCACCTAGCTTCATTACATGAACGTGTATCGTGTATTCCAGGACTGACACTAACTCTTGACCTTTGTTGTGTTGTCTAGTTTCGGATTTGCTACGCCAGACATTGGCTTTAAGTACGTTTTACCTTCTAATGCATCGTTAGGTAAGTACCATGGTACTATCGTGAGACCAGGAAAAAACCAGGAAAATAGAGCGCAAACTATTCGAACACTGCTAAATTAACTGTTGCTATGGAAACCAAAGACTTCGTATCCTAAAAATAACAAAATAAAAATAACAAACTGACGAGTGTAATTGATTTGTTGAAAACTAATACACCTTATTTGTAGTGTGACAATGTTTTCCCAATTCAGCGTGACAAACTTACAGAGGATTCATTTTCTTTTGTTTTTACTCTTCAAAGCATTCATGAGTATCCCAAAGGATACGAATGGAACGAGGATGATATCCCTACGCGTTTTAAAACAATAGCTGTTCATTCCCCTAGGAGTTTGTCACGTTCAATTGGGAAGACATTCTCACACCACGAATAAGGTCTATAGCAAACAAGTATAACTGAGACCATATTAAAAATAAGAATTAAAAATTAATTTACACTGAAACAGCTAAAAAAAAMCCAATTAATCATAGTTTGTTGAATTTCTCCATTTTATACTATAAATCATCGCATTTAAAAATCCTATTAGCGTCCTTAGACGTTCTCAATCCGGCTTCATATTTGCCTAGTAGAGATTTCTCATAAGTCCGATTATTTTACGCTACGTTTTACGCGGGTGTGAACTCGTGAAAACCGTATATTTGCATGACTAAGACAGCTGGGAAAGTCATTGTAATGGTCTAAGAAAAAAAAAGTCCATTTTTACACAAATCAATTCTTTATGGTCAATACAAGAATTTCATAAAACATATGAAATGCACAACTCTTAGAAAGCGACATATTTTTCATTTGCACTAATCTCACTCTTTGTTCTGAACATTATACAAAAGATCTTTTATTTTTCTTTATACTTTATTGTTAAGTGTGAGAGGCACTTTAGACTTTTTGAGGCACTTTAGACTTTTTGAGGCACTTTGATATAGTATATTGTTAAGTATTTTTGTGCATGTCACTTTCTGCAAAGAAACAGGATTCCATTGTTTTTTGTCTGTTTCTAAATGACAATATTAAGATATGATGAAAGAGAATATGACACAATATAATGCGAAAACTATAAAGCAAAATCGTATTTNCTTCCTTCCTTCCTTCCTTCCTTCCTTCCTTCCTCTTTCTTCTTTCTTAGTTTTCTTCCTTTTCTTTCTTTTCTTCCTTTCCTTTCTTTTCTTCCTTTCCCTACTCCTTCACTCCGTCCATTCCTCCCATCCTCTTTCACTTCTTTGCTTCTTTCCTCCCCCCTTGAATTTCATCTCATATCCGTTATCTTTCTTTTCAGAAAGCTCATCACCTTTGCCCTAAAGAAACAAGTAAGCTTAACTGCATATGATATTCACCTTACGTCTCTCAGTATCACACGTTTTCCATACAACCTAACCCCCTTGTAATCTTCGTCACTAGGCTACAGAAAACAAGAGTGGGTCTGAGAGTGGAATCGAGGATGAGACTACTCCCTTTGTCTCTAAGTATCCTAAGTCTAACAGCACGTCCCCGAAGAGAGAGGTCAATGTTTCTAATTTAGTCATGACAGCAGAACCTATTGGGACTACAAACAACGGTAAGCTCTATTTCGAAATCTAAGCTCAAATGGTTGGGCGCCGGTTTGTTGTGCAGGAGGTCGTGGGTTCGAGCCTCCGTGGCCGGACCAACGCTCAGGGTCTTAAAATATCTGAGAAGAAGGTGCTGCCTTTGACCTAAAAAGTCCAGTGCGCTCTCTGGTTATAAATGATACCAATGACTATATCAAGTATACAGCTTGCGTATTCGTTTCACACTCGTATATCATAAACTATATGAGATATTAATCGCGCCCTTATTGGTTGCCTACCGTGTTTATTTCAGAGCACAGAGATGCGCAGAATTGTGAATAAATATCTTATTGAATAAATAGAAAACGGCTGCGCGTGTCACTGTACTGTTATATACGCATACTGGAAGTTGAAGAGCACTAGAGAAGGCGAAAAAACATTCAAATACGTCTTGTGTTCTTAAGCCTCTTCTCTCATTACTACAGCTCCCAGCGTGTTAAAGCCTATTTCGAAAAAGGTTGTCGGATCCAAAGGCGACAACTTTTTTTGAAATAGGAAGATATCATAGTACAGAGACGCGCGCGCATGGTTTACTTTAAGAGATGCACAGAGATGCGCAGAATTGTGAATAAATATCTTATTGAATAAATAGAAAACAGCTGTGCGTGTCACTGTACTGTTATATACGCATACTGGAAGTTGAAGAGCACTAGAGAAGGCGAAAAAACATTCAAATACGTCTTGTGTTCTTAAGCTCCTTCTCTCATTACTACAGCTCCCAGCGTGTTAAAGCCTATTTCAAAAAAGGTTGTCGGATCCAAAGGCGACAACGTTTTTTGAAATAGGAAGTGTAGCTGTTTCCATAGTAATCAGCGTATTCAGCAATTATTTGATTGACAAGAGATTAACTTAATCTCTTAGCGTTCTACCCTTTTAATTCAGTATAGTGTAACACTCGTTTGAAGTAAGACGAACTTTCGGGATTAATATCTTTATGTAATTGTTTTAACTGACCCGCCAACGTTGGTAAGTCCTCAACCTTATTGTATTTCTTTTAATCTGTAGCACAACTGATTACTTTGTTGTGTATTTCACCTTGTGAATCATTTTCCCATAAGTAACAACAATTGTAAACAGAGCAATAGGCTAGCTATAGATAATCCTTATTTTAGTTGACCAGATCATTACCAGATTCAATAGTGCAAGAATAAAAAGGATTTGCGTACTCAACTATGGCAGTGGTTTCHTTTTGATACGATATTATTGAGAAATCCCGTACAGTAGTCATGTGTTTAATGACATGCTCTACTTTTAATCTATACTTTCTGTGATATTTATTTTGCCTAGTAGCTAATCGGCGAAGTCTTCCAGGCATACGCCTCAGTTGCGCTTGTCTCCACGATATGCGAAGGGGACGACGAGCAGAATATCCTTTATCTGCAAGCAGCTCAAAGTTAAAAGGAAAGTCTAATGCTAATCCAGGTCCTATCGACTGCGCTCTGAGATAAGTCCCAGCGTCATTCAAATGACCTGGAAATCCAGCTTGTATGAAACGAATGTGGCCTAAGCAGTCGCACACCACTTGGATGCTCATCAAATGGCGATGTCTGTGCCCATTGTAAAAGTTCTCTTGATTCTCCGAAGGCCGATTTATTGGGGTAAATGTCCCAACAATTGCTCCCACGGCGTTGGGAAAGTGTCTCCAGGTGCCTCGAAGATTTCTCCATTCCTGAATGCTCGGCCACGACACGAAASAACGAAAATGGTGCCATAAGATTGGAGCAATCTGATGAATAGTCCCAGAAACTGTAGACATGCTTACATCAAAAATACAAGCCAAGAAATCAAGACTAGGATATTTGCGTAGCCATATCAGTACTAACRAAACCCGGTTAGTTACGTCAAGTGTATATGGTCTGCCTTCTCTGACTCTGGGTTCGGTGTTTCTCCTTGATATAAGAATTTCACGACGAACATTATCAACCAGTTCAGTTAAGGACTCGAGTGTCTCTCCGGACAGCAGGCAGAAGATATACTCATGTCTCGAAAACATTCCAAAGACATCTCGCCCGATAAAATCATGCGAATTGCGACTTAAAGGGAGAAGAGACGTGGAAATGGTTGATTTACATATTGAAATATTGTCGGTGGAAGTATGTTGACTAGAAACTGCAATATAGCACAGGACAGAAGAATTTCGTTATCGCAGTCTAAATCCAGAGACTCTTCAGGGAGTGGGGCCGGTAAAGTAGATATGAAATGGCAAAAGATGTAACACAATTGGATGAACCTGATGTTGTCCATATTAGTTGAATCAGTAAGATTCTGCGGCGCACTGATTTGTGTGCAGTTTGCTGCCATTAAAAAAAAAAAAAAGAAATTCAATACCATTGACCAATCTGCAGAGTTTACTATTATTTGTATTTGTGATACAAATCATACAATCAGTAAAAGTACTTGCATGAAATAAACTTGAAAGGTGACTCTCCAAACGCGTACCAGGTACCTCCTATCTTTAGCGAGAAATTGCATTAATCCCTCTCATCTGTAGTCGCTCATTGTTAGATCAAATGCTTTGGTAAAATGAACAGTGCGAGCACGTAATCACGCATTTATGTCCATTGGTGGTAGCACGACTTGAGCGTTAAAATTTTAAGAGTTACGTAACTCTTTTCACGAAAAAGACTTCTTTTATTCTATTCTTTGTTGGATTTCATTATAATGCCAGCATATTTATAGTCGGGCACTAAACCTGAAATATCACAAACAGGCTTGGGCGTATCGAAAGGAGCAACTACAAGTACTCAAAAGGAAAATCCACTGTTTTGCAATGTCGAAAGTTTGGAGGCCGTGGGATGAGCCAGGAACTTCTCAAACTACTTCGAAGAAAACAGAAAGGCGTAAGTTTCTAATGTAACTTATTGAATTACTAATGAAATCTCACGGTCTTGAAAATAAATRCAAATCTGTTCCACTTTCAGTCAAGAAAACACCGGGAACGTCCGAGATGTCAGTTATTAAAGAAGCATGGATCARTGAAAGAACCAGAGGTTGGGAAGCAGTAGCATTATGCGCCAAAGAGTTGATTTTAAGCTCCCACCAAGTGCCACCAGAGGTTAAGACCTACTACAAGAAGTCTAAGTTAACCGCCATTGCGTCCAGGTGGCAGAGGTGCGTTAAAAGTAATGTCCATGTTGTGAATGCGGAAAAGCAAAGTAATACACTTGAAAGAGCAAGTGACGAACAAAAGAGCAAGAACGAAAGTTCTATCCAGAAGAAAGACAAGGAGCCCCACAAGCTTTCGCAGAAACCGCAGACATCGTTTTTAGGTGATAGCTCATGTGACGAGRGAAATGCCGATATGCGATATGCTGACATTCAATAACCAGAAGAAAGAAGAGATAGAGAAAGACGAAACGAGCGAAAAAGGAAAAAAAAAGAGTGACGAAAAAAGTGATAGCGATAGAAGTGACAGCGACGAGCCACGTACCAAGAAAGCCAAAGACAAGTCCACGTTGCAGAGAGAGGCTCTTGAAAAGCATTCTTTGATGTGTAATGCGGCTTTAAGTACAATGYAGAAAATGCAAGGGCTTTTCGATAAAATTGAAAATAAAATTTGAAAATTTACAGTTGTAAAAGGAGTGAGAGCGAGAGACAAAAAAGTCGTGTCTAGCTATCGTTAGCGTTCCTAGGAATTTTCTGAATAGTGTTAAGACTGGTGTGTGTTTTAATGTAAATGAAAATATGTCGCTTTCTAAGAGTTGTGCATTTCATATGTTTTATGAAATTCTTGTATTGACCATAAAGAATTGATTTGTGTAAAAATGGACTTTTTTTYTTCTTAGACCATTACAATGACTTTCCCAGCTGTCTTAGTCATGCAAATATACGGTTTTCACGAGTTCACACCCGCGTAAAACGTAGCGTAAAATAATCGGACTTATGAGAAATCTCTAGTAAGCGTTCAACTCTTTTCTGAATAAACCACCGGGACAAAAGCTGTTCTCTKCTGTTAGTCAGTTCTCATACTTTACAAGTACTTATCGTTTCCTTGCAGACCAATTAACCGATGAGTTGAAATCCTCAGACCTCACCTTGGCCAAATGGTAACATTTGCTTACTTTAGCTRTCACTTGTACATTCCTAGATAAGTAATACTCCTATTTGGGATACTTCGACAGGTGCATTTCATGGCTTAAACATTTGCAAACGCACAAATTAATCATGATCTATCTTGTCAACTTTCTTCTAGGCCCTATTGTAATGGAACTGTTTTTGCTGACAATCCCATAGAAAAGATGAAGATGAAGAACTTAACCTGTAAATAGATCAAAGTAGATCCGTTTTATTTTTTGTGATATAAGCAGATCTAATTTATATCAGTGGTAGAGATAACACACTAGTAGCGAGGGCTGACGTTATCTTCTCGTTGTTTCAGGTGACCAAGATATGCTCAACGGTCTTGCCATAGATTTGAATGCTACTTCTCGCATGTCCAGTATTTGGAAAACAAATCAAAGGCGCTACACTGAGTATGATTGGTTTATTTTATCTTTACCTGCATAAAACGATTGGTTTTGTCACATATATGATATCAGGTGTCCAATAACATCTTACTCGCGCTCAGTAATTGGAGGGGAAGAGTGCTGTAATCTATGGAATTAAAGTATGAATTACTTGGTGCCTGTCAAAAATATCTTCAGGTCTTCAGCACTTCGTACCATCACTCTCCTAAGCAATGATTCGATACTTGATATACTTGTTACAGAATGTTTTGATGTTTTCCATTTCAGTAATCAAATCAACACCGTATTTGCCAAAACCTTTTATGGAGTAACCAGGCAACAGACGTTCAGGTATTAGTATTTTGGTGTTTGATACATGATACTCCAAAAGTAGAATGCAATAAAAGTAAGGTATTTTAAGCTTAGATTCAGTTGAAGCATTGTCAACTAATGTACTAATGTTTACTCATGACTAATTCGCGCTTACAACCCCTAAAATGTCTATATTGACACTTACTTGCGTCAGAACTCTATAAGAACTATTCATGGACTTAATTCTCACTGCTATGTCGTGGAGTGCTCCATGTAAACAGTATTTTGTAATGTTAACACATTCAAGGTGTTTTCTTGTAACCATTTAGTGCCTTGGAACAGCCATATTATCCCAGCCAAAGTGATTTCGGGAGGGTTGCAGCATCTGACGTGAATGCTTCATCTATTGTGTATACTTCACCATATACAACGGGTAAGTACTCTGTTGAAGTGGATTTACAAATATCGGTTTTTTGCTCTCTCACTTTTGATTTTTTCCCTGTCTATACAAAATCCTGATATTATATATTTATGCGATATTATGTTTTACCAGGTAAACGAGAGAGAAACTCTTCAACTGTCATTGCATTTCATAAAGTCTTGTCTTCCAACAGGCCTGTGGCAGGTATTAACTAAATATTCCCGCATTTAGAATCAAGAATTGGGTTTAGTTGGGGGAGGAAAATATAAGACCCAAGTGCACATATCCCAAAATCATTGCAGAGGTCAGCGCTGTAAATTATACCTGGGACTACAGGTTTTTTCACTACCAGGTTTACCGCCGTTAACGCTTGAACAGACATACTAAGTTGAGAGTGATACAGCAAGGTATAACGTCCATRCTGACTGCGTTCTGTAAGGGTCTATACACACCACATTACGTTCTCACTTTGCGTTGGTTTGTTTCAAACTAAAGTTAAACTGGACAGTGGTGTATTATTTTTATCTTTAATCTGCTGTCTGCCCTGCTTGATTTGTTACAGTAACAGGATTTCAAATCGATTCTGGTGCTTTTTCTAAGATGGTATTTGACAAGACCAAACAGGTATGTATACTAGAGTAGTCTGCAGTGAATCTCCTTTTTTTAGAGACATTACTTAGGCCCCGTCCACACGTATCCGGAAATTTTTGGCGATACGAAAATTTTTGCGTCCACACGCAGCGTATTCGAATCGTTTTCACCGTCCACACGTATCCGTTTTCGTAAAATTTGCGGATACGGACACAAAAATGTGCGGACACGTGTGGACGCAACCCGTATCCGTAAAAAAAAAAAAAATTGCGGATACAAAAATTTGCGGATACGTGTGGACGGGGCCTTAAATAATAAGGCCTATCGCCGCCCGCCCAGTGGCCCCTACAGTCATTGTGTAGGAGAACTGAACAGAAAAGCAATTGTGAATTGTCACTAAATGGTTTTTTTATTGATTTGTAGTGCTCATCTGGCATCTGTGCAGATGTGAACTGTGACAGAAGCGGAAAAAATGATGTGAGTAGTACTATCACGTATTACTGTAGTAGACCCATGTGATTGGCTTACTATAGTACTATCATGTGACAGGCTCACTGTAGTAGACCCACGTGATTGGCTAACTGTAGTATATCACGTGACTGACTTACTGTAGTACTATCACGTGACCGGCTCACTGTAGTAGCCCCACCTGATTGGCTTACTGTAGTACTATCACGTGATTGGCTTACAGTAGTACTGATACGTGATTGGCTTACTGTAGCAGGTTTAGCCTTATAGGTGATGTATACTAGTGGTTGTTTGGTTGTTGTGTCTGCAGCTAGAAGGCAACTACTGCTACTTGCTGGATGAAAATGCCTTCGTCGTGTCGGCCAATTACAAACAGGTAATTCTTAAGTTAAAGTTAAATATGAGATGTTTTTTCGACCCAATCACTATTATATAAATAAATACACTTTGATTCAATAAGCCAGTAGAGGGGGGAAAAGTATTTTTGACACAAAGGATTTTCTTGTTCATTCAAACAGTCCAGTGGAAAGTTCTTTGGTAAAGTAGATAACTCTATCATGAAATTACTGATTAAAGACAATTCAACTTCTGTCACCGGGATTTACAACAAGTAAGTGCCTGCCTGCCAGCTTTTTGAGAATCCCCCCTCCCCTCCCCCTCTAACACCTAATCATGTCAATGTCATTCAACTTATCACGTCTAAAGAAGGAGCTACACTTCGAAAACGTTACCATTTACTTTACATTTAATGTTTTACTGGCTTATAAAGAGATAATATATAGTATTTCTACAGCATGTCAATGTCCAAATTTATCTTTCCGTTACATGGGTAAATCTTGTATTTTTGCACTTGTAGGGTAGTGTTTACCGATTACCAAGCTGTTTGCGAGAAAAAGGGAAGTTTTGTCAACTCCGGCACGTCTCTGCTCGGGGTGAGTAAATGTGATGGTCTTGATAGCCCATGGTATTTGTTTTGTGAATCATCTAGATTTATTTGAGTATGCGTCGCTTTGGACACTTGCAACCACGGTATTCGCTGTTGCGCTGTCATAAAAACAGGGTTTGAATTCGTGCGCTAGTTGACWGAGAAATGATCATTCTTTAGATCAGAACAAACCGGTACAAGCCAGTACAAACTGGTACTAATCAGTATTATCTGTGGCTTGTATTTCAGCCTCTGTTTACAGTATCCTCCTACATCGATTTGTGGACGACAAAAGCCATGTGGTAAGTTAGCAGCGGAATTGTAAAATTTCGTGTTGTTGGAATAACAATCAGTAATAAAACACGGACCAAACAAGCTTCTTCGCATTTGCTATCAGTTCTTCTCCAAAGGCAAAGAGCAAAAAATGAATTTCCAACACAACCTCCCCCTCCTCCCCCTCCTCCTCCTCCCCCTCCTCCTCGTCCTACTCCTCCTCCTCCCCCCTCCCCCCTCCCCTTCGCATGCACACCTCAGATACAAATTTATTATGTACTTACCACAAGTGCAGTCTCTATCCGTTTTCTCTCAAATAATGAAATTAACGCCTGATACTCAACTTTTTGGAAAGCTTAACTTGTTCTAGTTAAACGAATAGATTAGTAAGGAAATGGGGAAAGCAGCGTGGAATTAATTAAAAGTAGCACTAATCAATAATAATAATAATAACAACAACAATAACAACAACAATAATAACAACAACAACAACAACAACAGTCAAAGCAAACCGAATAGACGTACGAATCGTCGACAAAGAGAAAAAGGAAGTGCTATTATTGGAGATGACATGCCCCTGGATCGATRATAGAGAGAAGGAGACAGAAAAGACAACGAAGTACGCACCACTCAGATGGGAACTAAAAAACAAGCACTCAGGATACAAGATAAAACAAACCAACATAGTGATTGATGTCTTAGGAGGGTATTCACATGAGTTGGGACTAAAGATGAAAGAAATTTTTGAAGAGAAAAGAGCAAGAGAGATTCTTAACAAGATGCAAATGTCGGTACTATCTAGTAGTTTGAACATTGTCCGTTGATTTAAAATTATGAGTGAAAAGTAAATATCACGTTAAAAGTGATAGCCTATTTATTTAGAAACAATCTTGTAATTAGTTTTTTATATTATTATTTTTATGTACAGGCTACCGTTTAATCGGTCACAGCCTTATATGCTACCCGACTGATCGTATATACTTATTTCAATAAAGTTAGTCACCTGAAAAGCTACAAAGCAGAGAGCGACAAGAATTATGGGTACACACATTTTACATGTTTCAACCGCTTTAATAACTGTTGATGGATTTTAGATCTCTTACCAGTTACAGTCTCACCTCTTCTGAGCATCCTAAAGCTGCAAATTGTATCAAAAGCTTTACTTGTTTGATATGAAAAGTTTCCCATGATCCTCAGTGATCTCAGCTTTCTAGGTT